ATTGTAAGACTTAGCATAAAACCACAAGTCAAGACAATGAGGTATCAGCAGAACAGAAACATAGATCAAGGGAACAGAACAGAGAACCTACAGACAGACCCTCTCAAATATGTCCAACTAATTTTTGGCAAAGAGGCAATGGTAACTCAATGCAGAAAGGGTAGTCTTTTCAAATGATATTTGAACAATGGTTTATCAAAAAAAAAAAAAGAACCTCCCACCTAAACCTAGTATGTGAGGTTTCTCACATATTCCAAAAAAAATGCAAAACTACATGCAAAAAAATGAACCTCCCACCTAAACCTCACATATTACCCAAAAATTCACTGAAAATGCTGCATGGATATAAATGTAAAATTATAAACATTCAGATGAAGACCTAAAAGAAAACCCTTGCAACCTGGAGTTAGATATGACAGCAAAAGCTTGATCCATGAAAGAAACAAAAAAAAAGGAAAAAGAAAATAAAAGATAAAGTAGACTTGCTCTAAGAAATAGCAGAGAATGAAAACGTAAGACTGAGAAAATACTGGCAAATCACCTATTCTAAATCTGAACAGCAAGAAAATAAACCAGTTAAACAGTCTGAAGAGTTAAACAGATACTTCAAAACAAGACCCACAGATGGCAAATAAACATGCGTACAGATGCCCCACATCAATGGCCAGTGGCGAAACAACTACTCACTGAAACTATAGCCAGGCACTGAAACCACGGCCAGAGCAACACTAAAACCATGGCTAGGGAGACACTGAAACCACAGCCAGAGTGGCACTGGAACCATGGCCAGAGTGACACTGAAACCATGGCCATAGTGGCACTGGAACCACGGCCAGAGTGACACTGAAACCACGGCCAGAGTGACATGGAAACCACGGCCAGAGTGGCACTGAAACCACGGCCAGAGCGACACAGAAACCATGGCCAGAGTGACACAGAAACCATGGCCAGAATGACATAGAAACCACGGCTATGGTGACACTGAAACCATGGCCAGAGCGATATGGAAACCATAGCCAGAGTGACACTGAAACCACGGCCAGGGTGACATTAAAACCACAGTCAGGCACTGCTGAACACCAGACAGAGTGACACTGAAACGATGGCCAGAGTGAAAATGAAACCACGGCCAGGCACTGCAAAGACCGGCCAGAGCAGCTAATGGAAAAATTTCCGACGAATATCAAGTGCCGGAAGGAGGCAGAGCACCCAGGACTCTCACCAGTTGCTGGTAGAAACGCAAAATAACACAGCAACTCCACAAGAACAGTCTGGCACTTTCTACTAAAGTTAAACATACACTTAATGTGACCAATCAACCCCATTCCTAGGTATTTACCTTAGAGAAATATAAACTTATTTTCACACAAAATCCTGAAATTAATAATGTTTATAAAGCTGTACTTACCATGGCCCCTATCTGGAAACAACCCAAATGTCTTCCAATGAGTGACTGGATAAACACCCACATCACAGAATATTACTTGGCAATAAAAAAGAGCGAATTCCTGGCACACACAGCACCCTTGGGTGAATCTCAATGGCACCATCTTAAGTGAGAGAAGCCGCAGGCTTGAAATATAACACTATGGGATTCTGGCCATAAGAGATTCTTGAGGAGACAGAACTCAAACGGAAACAGATGAGGGGTACCGGAGGGTAAGTGAATGCTTCTGGGAGAGAACCTGCTCTGATCCAGACTGTGGTAGGAGTTCTGTGAATCCATAGATATGTGAAAATTCATAAAATTGTGTGACAAAAAAAAAAGGAGTCAATGTGCCACTTCTCAGTACGGTGAGGCATCTCCACTCATGGCCTGTTCTGCGGTGACAGTGACCCAAGCACCTCAGCCCCTCTCCACACTGTAGACACACAGACTCCATCCACCCAGCACCTCAGCCCCTCTCCACACTGTAGACAGACTCCATCTACCCAGCACCTCAGCCCCTCTCCACGCTGTAGACACACAGACTCCATCCACCCAGCACCTCAGCCCCTCTCCACACTGTAAACACAGACTCCATCCACCCAGCACCTCAGCCCCTCTCCACACTGTAAACACAGACTCCATCCACCCAGCACCTCTCCACACTGTAGACACAGACTCCATCCACCCAGCACCTCAGCCCCTCTCCACACTGTAGACACACAGACTCCATCCACCCAGCACCTCAGCCCCTGTCCACAGTGTAGACACAGACTCCATCCACCTAGCACTCAGCCCTTGTCCACACTGTAGACACACAGACTCCATCCACCCAGCACCTCAGCCGCTCTCTACACTGTAGACACACAGACTCCATCCACCCAGCACCTCAGCCCCTCTCCACACTGTAGACAGACTCCATCCACCCAGCACCTCAGCCCCTCTCCACACTGTAGACACAGACTCCATCCACCCAGCACCTCAGTCCCTCTCCACACTGTAAACACAGACTCCATCCACCCAGCACCTCAGCCCCTCTCCACACTGTAGACACAGACTCCATCCATCCAGCACCTCAGCCCGTCCACACTGTAAACACACAGACTCCATCCACCCAGCACCTCAGCCCCTCTCCACACTGTAAACACAGACTCCATCCACCCAGCACCTCAGCCCCTCTCCACACTGTAGACACAGACTCCATCCACCCAGCACCTCAGCCCCTCTCCACACTGTAGACAGACTCCATCCACCCAGCACCTCAGCCCCTCTCCACACTGTAGACACAGACTCCATCCACCCAGCACCTCAGCCCCTCTCCACACTGTAGACACAGACTCCATCCACCCAGCACCTCAGCCCCTCTCCACACTGTAGACACAGACTCCATCCACCCAGCACCTCAGTCCCTCTCCACACTGTAGACACAGACTCCATCCACCCAGCACCTCAGCCCCTCTCCACACTGTAGACACAGACTCCATCCACCCAGCACCTCAGTCCCTCTCCACACTGTAGACACACAGACTCCACCCACCCAGCACCTCAGCCCCTCTCCACACTGTAAACACAGACTCCATCCACCCAGCACCTCAGCCCCTGTCCACACTGTAGACATACAGACTCCATCCACCCAGCACCTCAGCCCCTGTCCACAGTGTAGACACAGACTCTATCCACCTAGCACTCAGCCCTTGTCCACACTGTAGACACACAGACTCCATCCACCCAGCACCTCAGCTCCTCTCCACACTGTAAACAGACTCCATCCACCCAGCACCTCAGCTCCTCTCCACACTGTAAACAGACTCCATCCACCCAGCACCTCAGCCCCTGTCCACACTGCAAGCACACAGGCTCAGTCAATCCAGGCCCTGACCTCCACACAGTTGCCTGCATGGCACTGACTCACTAGACAGACCTGGAAGAAGGCCAACTGAATGTCAGTCCCGGACACCTGTGAAATTGAGTTCTGGCCATGAAAGCGGGAAGAGGGAGAAGGGTATCGACCGCGAAGAGGAATGTCATGGAGAGGAATGCAAAGTCGTGCGAAACGATATTGCCTTGACTAAAACAGAACCAAGGTATCACCATGTTCGTTCTCCTGGAGCACAAGCTCTGAGGGAGCACAGACCTGAGAGCCAGGAAGGGCTGGTGTCTTCAGGGACCCGAGAGGCGGGGTGAGGCCGAGGCAGGAGCCCCGGGAGAGGGGTGTCAGGACAACCGCATGGGCTGGGACCTCAAGCCACCCTATAGAGGGTGGGGGCAGGCATCCACCAAGGGGCAGCCACCCAGATGGGTTTCAGGAAGGTGTCCATGGCAGTGTCGGGGCCACAGTGGGGGCCTCAGAGGATAACACACCAGTGAGGCGCTGCAGGTGACTCAGGCCAGGCAGTGGGCATGGTGTGACCCTCCACACAAGGTCGGCTGCTACAGGTGGCCCCAGTGAGAGGTTTTCGTGGGGAAACAATGGCCACTTCAGGTGGTTCTGAAGCTTGTCATTTAATTACACTGAAAGCCACCTGCGTCCTACTTGTTTGCTGGGCTAAAATGTCCAGCCACAACCACGGCTCCAGCCACAACCATCGCTCCAACCCTCACCTGGTCAGGTATGGAAACCAAGGTCCAGGGAGAGCATGTGGCTGTCCACTCACGAGAACAGCCCATGGCCCGAGGGCCAAGACAGCGCCACAGAGAAGGCAATCTGCTGAGGTCAGACTCGATCCTTCCTTTTAAAATCTCAAGGCAACAGTCAATCATGTGTGGTATCAGGTGTGGATACTGGCTTTAGAGAAAATAATTTCTTTTTAAATCAAGATTCCGTTTCCCCATAATCCCTAAACCTTCCTCCTTGATGTGTGTTCACCTGTTATGAGTAGAGTCTCATGTTAAAATCCTCACAGAAATGAGCCAACGTCCTTTCTTCTTGTTCACCTTTTGTCAAATTTAGAATAACGCACGAGACTAGGAGGCCACCAGTGAGCTCTGCACAGGCACCCTTCAAGACCCAGAGAAGCTGACCTAGAAACGGGGAGTGCAGAGCCACGTGACCCCGAGAAGCTGGCCTAGGAAGCGGGAGTGCAGGCCACGAGGAGACGGCCTAGAAAGCGAGAGTGCAGGCACAGGCACCCGCCTTAGCGTGCAGGACTCTTGTGACCCCCTCCACACCTGCCCTCGGGGCCTGCGGTTAGCGTCGGCTCAGGACAGATGCCAGGGCCAGGCCAGTTCCTGTTTTTAACCAGATTCCCATCACCAACAACGACCTCTCCTGCTTTCTCTCAGGGGTGCCCTTAGCCGAGGACTTCATGGCCCACGTCAGTGTGTCCTTGTGGATGGGGCCCCTAAGAGGGGCTGTGGGCCCAGTGTGGGTCCCCTAGGTGTTCTGCTCTGGGCTCCATCCGCCCACTGCTCCGTGAGCACACAGACGAACATGGCCGGCACCTACAGTGTCCAGGAGGCCGGTCCCCTGTGCGGAGGGGAGTCCGTCTCCAGGGGAAAGACACACCCGTGGGTCCACCCCAGGGGTCCAGCCTGGACAGACGGCAGCCAGCCTGCCGAGAGCAGAGTGGCCTACCTTGGTGCCCCTCTCGTCTCCCTCTGCGAGCACGGTGTGGGTGCCGCCTTCCTTCTCTGAGTTTTCTGAGACAATGCGCACCTGCACGCCCGGCAGCGGGGTCCCCACAGAACCTACAGGGGAGGAGAAACACTGAGGAGAGGCTGCAGTGACAGGGACCTGGGGAGAGACGTGCGCGCTGCGCTCGCATTCCGCTGGGCTCCTGTGTGCCACGTGCAGGAATCAGTGTGTAAACAGAGCAACATGCCCTGGACCCAAGAGAAGACTGCCTAGGAATCAGGAGTGCAGGCCATGTGACCCCGCGAGGAGCCGGCCTAGGAAGTGGGGAGTGCAGGCCACGTGACCCAACAAGGAGACGGCCTAAGAAGCGGGGAGTGCAGGCCACGTGACCCAACGAGGAGACGGCCTAAGAAGCGGGGAGTGCAGGCCACGTGACCCCACGAGGAGACGACCTAGGAAGCAGGTAGTGCAGGCCACGTGACCCCACGAGGAGCCAGCCTAGGAAGCGAGTGTGCAGGCCACGTGACCCCACGAGGAGACGGCCTAGGAAGTGGGGCCATGTGACCCCGTGAGGAGCCGGCCTAGGAATCGGGGAGTGCAGGCCACGTGACCCCACAGGGAGCCGGCCTAGGAATCGGGGTGCAGGCCACCTGACCCCGTGGGGAGGTGGCCTAGGAAGCGGGAGCGCAGCGCCGCACAGGACATGCCAGCGGGCGGTGTGCTCAGGTCCAGCGGATGCCATAGGGATGGCCACGTGGCACGGCAGGCGCTCACACTGCACCCAGGCCTGGCCTGGGCCCCCCATACATCACTTTCCCAGTTCCCGACCGAAGCCTCACGGCTGCCCACGGACTCTGCTCTCGTCTCCACTTTCATACACTTGTTGTCTAAGGAGGGCTGGCGCCTCACCCTCATGGCCTCAGGGCTGTCCATGATGAGGTTCCTGTGTGTGTCCGGGACACAGCGGGAGGTACTGCCCTGCGCTCTGCATGGCAGCTGGGCCACACCTCGGAATGGCTCATTTATTAGACACCCACGATTTGCTCAGTGTATCCATCCCACCTGCACAGTCCCAACCTGGCTAAAATCAAATCTTACACTGGCCAGGGTGGGACAGAGCCCGGGGGGTGGGGAAGGGGCGTGCACCCTGCCGGCATATACAGGGCTGCTGCAGCCTTGCTCTGCCCGTGCTCTAGGATGGCGGTGGGACAGCAGAGGCTGCTTATGGAACAAACCCTGGCGATGTGGCATCAGCATGCGCATGGCCTAGGAGCAGAGCAAAGATGGGACTTTCTGTCCATCCACAAGGTGTAAGGCCTTCACCCTGGACTTCCTGTCCACGCACGGGACATGAGGCCTTTGCCCTGGCGTGCCTCACGGGAGTGCCTGAACGCTTATCACATGTGAGAGTCTACGTTGAGATTTCAGGCACTTCCAGGGTCAGCATGGAGGGTCAGTGCAGTGAATTCTGTAACCCACAGGGCCTCCCGGCCTCCAGACACTTGGTGAAGGGCTGCTGGTGCTGGGATCACTCCTGCTTGCCTGGCTAGACCTGTTCACGCCTGGGGTCCCACAGGTCAGGCCGGGCCACGTTGGGAGTTCTCTGTGGTTCCACACGTGCACACACCTCACACCTTCACTCTGGCCAGAACCAGCACTGGGGCATGATGGGCCGGCTTCAGCCCCCTTTCTCCCATCCTTCCTCCATCTTTATGTTTTGCTTCTGAAGATTTTAAAATGGAGGTGAAACCCACGTAACACGTGATTCGGCATTTCACAGTACACACACACACGGCACAGCCCCTAGCTTGCTCCAGTCAGAACTCCCGCACAGCCGTGAAACCTGTGTAACAAGTGATTTACCATTCCACAGTACACAGCACGGCGGTGTTACACACACACACACACCACAGCCCCCAGCTCGCTCCAGTCGGAACTCCCCCATGGCCTGGAAGTGCCGTCCCATGACTGCCACACTCTCCCTCTCCAGACCTGGCAAGGAGTCTGCTGTCTGTGTCCATAGGTTGTCTGCTCTGGGCGTTTCACAGGAACAGGAACAACTCACGCGGCTTCTCGCCTCTTCCTGGTGGTGCCGGTACTGGGGCGGGGGAACAGCACCAGGACACGGCACAGCTGGGCTAGGGGCAGGGCCGCAGGTGGGTAAGTGTGTGGCCGTCCCAAGCCATCTGCAGTGGCTGAAGAGGCTCTGGTGTCTGGATTCTCCAGAAGTCAAGCAGTGGGGCTGCCCATGGAAGCTCAAGGGAGTGGTCCCCACACCCCAGGTGCCCCTCTGTGCCCTGTGCATGTGCGTGGTGCGGACAGAACCCAGCCTGTGAGGGCCAATGTAGAGCGTGGCTGCAAGTAGGGGTGGGGGTGGGGGGATGCCTGAACGTTTATTACATTCCTGTGGCAGCCCACCTCTGAAATGGCTGTCAGCCCCTCCCTAATAACCCTAACTGGCCTGTGGCCCTTCCTGGTGCCTGGGACCTGGACAAGGGAAACCACCAGTAAGGCCCTGGAGCTCCCTGTCAAAGCCACAGAGAAGCCCAGGAGCTCTGAGCTCATCTGATCTCAACCCCCAATTAGAGTGTAATTAGACACGGCAGTGCTCACCATGAATGATTCATCTCCCTCCACAGGAGCCACATGGAGCATGCCCAGAACTGTAACACAAGGCAGAGTTCACCGTCTCGCGGCGGATGCGTTACACACGCAGACCTCACCCTCCCGCGGTGGACGCATTACACGCGCAGACCTCACCCTTCGCCCGGCGGACGCGTTGCACGCGCAGACCTCACCCGCGGTGGACGCGTTACACGCGCAGACCTCACCCTCCGCCCGGCGGATGCGTTACACGCGCAGACCTCACCCTCCCGCGGTGGACGCGTTACACGCGCAGACCTCATCCTCCTGCGGGGTACGCGTTACACGCGCAGACGTCACCCTCCACCCGGCTTCTCTCCTTCTCTCTCTCCCAAGCACGGAGCAGCGAGGCAAGCCCAAACCCCACAGCTGGAGCCAACCCAAGGGCCGAGGCCATGGCCGCCAGGGAGGGGGTTAGAGCCTGAGAGTGAGGAAGGCTTTTCACCACCGTGCCCTCCAGTAACGCTGCTCGGGAGGCTGCATTTCAGAGTTTGCATGGGCACACTGGATTCAATGCTGCGGCTCCTTTAAAGAACTGATGCTGCTGGTGATTTAGAGACAAGGAAAAGTTGTAGACGTTCGCGTCTCCTTTAGAGAAGAGGGGCTGTCCTCAGCGCCCGACTAAGGCTGTAGTGGGTAGTTAGACACGGAGAGTTTTGCGCCCGGATTTCTTGCCCAATAACCCTGAAGCTTCAGGGTTTCTGGATCCCCTTCCTCAGCCAGGGACTCCCCTCCGTGTGCTCTCTGGGGCTCCTTCCTGCTCACCTGGGAGCTCTGATTCTAGTGTAGGAGGGTGAGGTTCCCGCAAAGCCTCTGGGCTCCTGTCTGCTCTTTGGCACCCTCAGTATAGACAGCATTCCCTGGGCTGCTCCTGGTGTCCTCAGTGTAGAAAGCAGTTCCTCGGGTTGTTCCTGGTGCCCTTGGTGTAGACAGCGTTCCCTGGACTGCTCCAGGCACCATCATTGTAGACGGCGGTGCCCAGGCTGCTCCTGGAGTCCTCAGTGTAGACAGGCTGTTCCTGGAGCCCTTGGTGTAGACGGTAGTTCCCGGGCTGCTCCTGGAGCCCTTGGCGTAGACGGTAGTTCCCGGGCTGCTCCTGGAGCCCTCGGTGTAGACAGGCAGTTCCAGGGCTGCTCCTGGAGCCCTCAGTGTAGACGGAGCAGCCCTCGGTGTAGACGGCAGTTCGCTGCTGCTCCTGGCGTCAGCTTCTCGGCCTTGTATCTACTCCAGCAAAAAAGGCTGGGGGTCCCTGTCCATCTTCTGTCTTCTGCAGTCAGGACCACAGAAGAGGCCACTGTGCTCCCGGCAGCATGGCAGGCCTGGGACGTACATGTGCGTGTCTGTGTCACTCACCGGCTGCGTGACCATGGGCAGGCTCTGGGGGTTCTTGTGTGTGAATGGAAAAAGTGACCCCACAGCAGGGGCCGTTCTGAGGACATGAAATGAGAGGACACACAAAGCAATGCTGTGTATAAACAGTCGTCATCAACCACAAACTCTGTGCAGACAGATTCTGGATACACAGAACTTGACCTGCTTACACGCTTCCGGAACAAACACAGGACAAAGCCTGGAGCCATCAGCCTATCGGTCCTCACTCGCCTGCATCCCTCACTGAGCCGGGCTCTGCTCCGTCATTCAGCGCAGGTGGCGCCAGACAAAATCAGCATGTCCTGCTAAGAAGGACGATGATGAGGACAGAGACTCGAGGTTCTACTCTAGTTTGACTTCCAGGCCCCCATCTTATTTCCACCGGAGAGCTTTAGCCACCGAGGAACGAGCTGATGCGACAGGCACTGTGGAGACGTGAGCGCCAGCCTAGGGCAGGGAGCACCAGCACTGATGGCGGTTTCCTGGGGTCTGACACTAGGATCTCTTTCTCGTCACTGGCAATGACTTCTTTTCACAATACGCCCCTGCCTGCCCACTCTCCTGGGCCGTGTCGCAGCAGGCCCTGCGTTCTGTGTGGCTGCTGCACGGGTGGTTCTGCACTGCATGCAGCACACGCTCTCAGCACCACAGCCCTGTCATCCTGCTCGGGACGCCCCAGCACCAGGGACGCCCCTTCACTCACAAGCCAGCCAGCAGCCCCCACGGCTCCCAGGCCCAGCTGTGAGCCCACAGCCTCTCCTCCTCTCCTTCCAGCCCAGCAGCCGTCATACTCACCTTGCAAGCCCCAGCACCGTATCACTGCCGGGCCCCAGCTGGGCCCAAGCACTGCTATGTCCAGGCTTACCCTAGGGCCCCAGGAATCAAGCCAGCATGGAATTAGCCAAAGGACACGGACAGAGCAAGGAACAGAGCAGAGCGTAGAAGTCAACCCCACGCAGTCAACGGACTTTCCACAAAGACCCAAAGGGCCACTCGATGGAGGAGGGAGTCTTCCCACACACAGTGCTGGAAAGGCTGCACACTCATATGCTAAAAAGATCTGTGACCATATCTTGCACTGTGCACAAAATGAATTCAAAATGGATCACGGTCTGAAATGACAGTGGTGTTGATGCCTCTTCCTGTGTCTCTCATGACAGTGGTGGCTCTCTCAAGAGAGAGACAGTAAGAGACGCCCGCACCACTGACATGAGGAACCAGGTGTTCAACACCACCCGTCAGTGACGGAAACAGGACCCAACAAGACCCTGTCACTGCCCGTTTGAGCAGCAGGCCCTCCTGACGTCCCACCCTTCGCAGGGGAGTGGGATAGTGCCACTGCTGTGGAGAAGAGCTTGGCAGCTTCAGACAATCCCGCCATCCCTCTCCTATGTATCTGCCCAAGTGAAATAAAAACCCAAGTTTGCACAGAAGTCTGCCCACCGATATTTATAACATCTTATGTGTCATTGCCTAAAACAGGGTCAAAAGCAGTGGCATATCTAAAGGGGGAAAGAAAAAAGGAATGAAACAACAGGATATAAAATTAAAATTAATGCAGGAAAGAGGAGCAGAAATTAAATATTTCTTCTATAAGCAAATTTCCCAGTCCTTCCCCCCGTGCAGAATTGTATCTTGCTCTGCAACCTGTATAAGTTTAGATTCTTGTATCCTTATTCTCTGTAGCTGGTAACTGTGTATGTTCAGCGAAGGTCATAAGCAATGCGTAAGCAGGCTGGACTGCAGCCCCCAGGTGCTGTCACGGCGGGCAGCAGATCAGATAAGGCCCAGGTTAGAATCCCCGAGCTCTAAACGTAATGAGCGCTGCACAGCGGAAGTCATATGCAAGCCTGAGTGAGCGTCTGTCGAACCTGTTCTGTACCTGCAAACTTGCTTTCGCACCACTGTACTTCAGGCCTAAAACGTCAAGCCCTGTCTCTGTTAAGGCACTCAGCCACTTTGGAAGTACATCCGAGATGGGCCGGGGTAAGCCTAAAATCAGCTCCCTCTGCAACCTCAACGGTCTCTCCAGTCTCTGAATTCTGCAGCACATCCATACACGGATCCACTCGGTAGTGAAAGGAGAGGGCTCTGACGCACACAGCTCGGGCGACGGCAGGCGGAAGCCGAGTGCAGGCTGCCAGGCTCGGAGGCCCCATCCTGCGGGATTCAGCCACATGACCTTCCAGAAGCAGCAAAACCACAGGAAGAGAAACGGGAACAAGGGGCCGGGAGGTGCTGACCACCAGAGAGGAAAAGTTTCTGAGAAGAGGAGCTTCCTCTATCTGACTGCAGTGTCACAGAACAAGGCAAGGAGCCTCCTCTATCTGACTGAGGTGTCACAGAACGAGGCGAGGAGGCTTCTCTGACTGCAGTGTCACAGAACGAGGCAAGGAGCCTCCTCTATCTGACTGCGGTGTCACAGAACTGAGGCGAGGAGCGTCTTCTATCTGACTATGGTGTCACAGAACGAGGCGAGGAGCCTCCTCTATCTGACTGTGGTGTCACAGAACGAGGCAAGGAGCCTCCTCTATCTGACTGTGATGTCACAGAATGAGGGGAGGAGCCTCCTCCATCTGACTGTGATGATGTTTCTTCAGACTCACAGAACCGCACACCAGAGGGGGTGAATCTTACTGTGTATGCAGGTAAGCAGCTGCACAGACACACACGGGACTGTCTCACATTCACGTCTGCACCAAGAGCTCTCTTCTGCTCTGGACAGACTGAAAGGGCTGTGCAGAAAGAAGTGGGGTGCCCCCCAGCTGTGGGCTCTGCTCATGGAAGGAAGCGGGGTGCCCCCAGCTGTGGGCTCTGCTCATGGAAGGAAGTGGGGTACCCCCCCAGCTGTGGGCTCTGCTCCCCTAAGTCCCTGTAGAGGACCCAGGGATGGAAGCGTTGGCTGATATGAAAGTCAGAATGGGATTGTTAGGGAAGGCTGGACAAGAGGGGTGTGGTGCCAGGAGCCCCTGTCTAGAGAAGACAGGCAGTTGGGTCACTCACCCCACCCTGTCCCCCACACCCACCTTCCCTGGCACTGCATGGCACCCTGGACTCCAGGCAGACGGAGGCTCCCACCATGGCTGACATGGTGTGGAGCCAGCAGCATGGGCCCAGACTTCTTCTGAGATGTGTGCCACCTGTTCCAGACATTGCTGTTCTTCCCATGTGGCCCCAGTCATGCAGCCAGGGGCCAGCACGACACCTCTCCCTATCTGCCCGACTGAGACCTGGGAGAAGGCTGGTCTGCCTGGTGGGGGAGGTCGCAGTGCACCCCAAGTGCCATGAGGGGCAGGTCACGGGGCACCCCGAGTGCCGGGAGGGGCAGGTCACGGGGCACCCCAAGTGCCGGGAGGGCTCTTCTGGCCTGGTGGCCTGTCCCACAGGGGAGCATCCTCCATACTGCCCTTCAGTCCAATCCAAATGTGGGTGGTTGGAGACAGGCCCACCTGGGGTGGGCTCCAGGCAAAGTGGGAGGGGAACGGGGTTGTGGGCAGTGCTTGTACCTGGTACGCGCGCTGCGGGGTTCAGGGGCCCGGACAGAGCCATGCCGATCTCGGTCATGCCGTACCGCTCCAGCAGGGTGTGGCCTGTGATGTTCTTCCACTTCTCCAGCACGGGGAGGGGCAGGGCAGCGGAGCCTGAGACCATGAGCCTATGCACAACCAAAGGCAGCCTTAGCCCGTCGGGGAGGCCGTGCGCACACAGGTGGCGCCCCTTCACCGGCGCAGCAGCCCGGGCCACACGCAGCACTGCAGCCTGGGCAACCGCATGACTGTGCGTTTTGGAAATGACGCGTTGGGTATGTTTTAGAAGGTAAGCAGGCCTAACAGCTAATTAGGGGAACAATGTGCTTAGGGTCCGTGGTGTCCCCCCCCAAAGTTCCCACGCTGCTCACAGCCGATGCTCAAGAACGGCAGTGAGCGCACAGCTGCTGATCACGGAGCTGACTACAGGGGAACAGCCATGGTGTGGCGGCTTCGGCCAGGCGCCTCCGGGTATAGAGCCAGCTCAGCTTGCAGGCTCCACGGGAGAACGGAGACATGGAGGAATTGCTGCAGTACCCAATGAGGCCGGACACACCCAAGGGGCTCAGAACTGCCCACAGATGGGGAGCCAGCTCAGCTCACAGGCTCGGCTCAGGCTTGGCAGGATGAACCCTGAGTCCTATGCTGCCCTCACAGCATTCCCAAAGCCTCACGTGCAGAGGGAGGGTTAGAGCCCCTGCGTGCAGAGGGAAGGCGATTTTGTTTGGGTTTGAGCGGAGGGGTCCCTGCTGCCTGTTTCTGAGGAGGCAGCACGGCCAGGACCCTGGCTGGGAAGTCCAGATGGCCGAGGTCTCATCGCCTCTGTCACCCCGGAAATCACGGGATCCTGTCCTTCACTGACCTCATGCTTGCCCTCGGTTCCTTAGACTTGGTAAAATGTACTGCTTATCCTGCCCCAGGGCACCCCAGGGTGGGGCTTCGGGCAGGCAGTGAGGAGCACAGCAAAACCATGGTCTCGGCGGCCTCACAGAAAAGGGGAAAGGGAACAGCAAAGGGAGGAAGCAGGGTCAGGTGTGTGCCCTGACAGCCCGGAATTCTCTCCAGCAACCACATGCTGCTTCCCTGGGCACTTCCTGGGGACGAGGGGGAGTGGCACGGCAGCCGCAGACACACAATAACCCCACTGGAAACACCGTTAAGCTGAGCCTTCTGTTCACGTCCTGCGGTCCACCCGCCATGCCACTCCTGCCTCTCACAACCAGAAAAAAACCCTGCCCAGGACTCTGCGGGCAGTGCGGGCCGTGGTTCGTGCGGAGACCCGCTGAGCCACACGTATGCATCTCCAGTTAGTGGACACACTTCAGCAGACACGAGGGAAAGGGGACTTTCCCAGGCCTGCAGGTTCATGCGAGAGTGCAGAGCAAACGCCACTGAATGGCCTGAAAGACCAGCTGGGCCCTGGGAGGGAGCTGGGAGGGAGGGGCAGGGATGGGAGGAAAAGCAGCAGAACGCACCCCAGGCAGGAGGGGTCACGGGGCTGCGTGCAAAAGCAGAGAAACTGCCGAGCAAAGGGACCGCCGAGCGGAGGCAGGTGCCGTGCACATGTGGGCACAGGAGGCAGGAGCCAGTGGCTCAGGTCACTGTCCTCACCCTGGTCCTTCAGACCCCATGACAGAGAGACAGACGGACAGGAGAGAGAGAAGACACACAGATGAAGACAGAGAGACATGGAGAGGTAGAGACAGATGGAGAGACAGATGGATGAAGAGATAGAGACAGAGAGAAAGACCGGAGAGACAGAAGACAGAGACAGAGAGATGGAGAGAGAAGACAGATGAGAGACAGACAATGAGACCTGAGAGACAGAGACAGTGACACGGAATGCAGACAGAAGTCAACGTGGAACAGATTCTAGATACCTGTATAGACGGGTGGCAAGGGAGAACATTGAAAGGAAATGCAAAGTGCTGCCTCCTAGAACTCAGAAGTGCTTTATTGGAAGGAAGTTCTATCTGCTGTTCTTTAAGACTATCTGCACGGAAAGTGGGCTCTTTTCATTTACCTGATTTTTTGTTCACAAACGGCACGCACGAAATCCTGGACATGTGTTTGGGTAAAATGTCTGTCGTAGTACTCCATCAGCTTGGTGTATATGGTAGGCACTGCCATAAATACACTGATCCGCGGCGTTTCAGAACTTAAGAACTTCTCCCAAACCTGCAGAGGAAAGGAAGCCCTCAGTAAGAAGATGAGCAAGCAGGCACCAAGACCCACAGCAGAGGCTCCCGGCTCCATGCACGGCGTTCTCGTTGGTCACAGTCAAGAGTCCACAGCGCCTCCCATATAAAAGCGGTGCCTCAGCCTCTTACCCGTTCCCACAGAAGTCACCTTGTGTGGGGCAACTATGTCTGGCCCGAAAGGGGAAAAGCAACCGTGGAGGGGTAAGAGCAATGGGGGGAGAAGAGCAATGTGGGGGGGAGGAGCAATGGGGGGGGAAGAGCAATGTGGGGGGGAAGAGCAATCGTGGTGGGGAAGAGCAATCATGGGGGGGAAGAGCAATGTGGGAGGAAGAGCAATCGTGGTGGGGAAGAGCAATCGTGGAGGGGGAAGAACAATCAATCGTGGAGGGGGAAGAGCAATGTGGGGGGAAGAGCAATTTTGGTGGGGAAAAGCAATCGTGGAGGGCGGAGAACAATCGTCGGGGGGAAGAGCAATCCTTAGGGGAAGAGCAATCCTTGGGGGGAAGAGCAATCGTGGGGGGGAAGAGCAATCGTGGGGGGAAAGAGGAACCATTGGGGGAAGAGCAATCGTGGGAGGGGAAGAGCAATCATGGCGGGGAAGAGCAATCCATAGGGGAAGAGCAATTGTGGAGGGGAATAGCAATCATTGGGGGAAGAGCAATCATGGAGGGGAAGAGCAATCATGGAGGGGGAAGAGTAATCACGAAGGGGGGAAGAGCAATTGTGGGGGGGAAGAGAAATCATTGGGGGAACAGCAATTGTGGGAAGAGAAGAGCAATCGTAGGGGGGGAGAGCAATCCTTGGGGGAAGAGCAATTGTGGGGGGGAAGAGCAATCGTGGAGGGGGAAGAGTAATCAAGGGGGGGAAGAGTGATCCTTGGGGGAAGAGCAATTGGGGGGGAAGAGCAATCATGGAGGGGGAAGAGCAATCGTGGAGGGGGAAGAGCAATCATGAGGGGGGAAGAGCAATCGTGGAGAGGGGGAAGAGCAATCATTAGGGGAAGAGCAATCGTGTCGGGGAAAGAGCAATCGTGGAGGGGAAGAGCAATTGTGGGGGGAAGGGCAATCATGGGAGGGAGAAGAGCAACCGTGGGGGAAGAGCAATCACTGTGGGGGAAGAGCAACCGTGGGGTGGGGGAAGAGCAATCATTGTGGGGGAAGAGCAATCATGTGGGGGGGGAAGAGCAATCATGGGGGGAAGAGCAATCGTGGCGGGGAAGAGCAATCGTGGGGGGGAAAGAGCAATGATGGGGGGAAGAGCAATTGTGGAGGGGGAAGAGCAATTTGGTGGGGAAGAGCAATCGTGGAAGGGAAAGAGCAATTGTGGGGGGGAAGGGCAATCATGGGAGGGAGAAGAGCAATCATGGGGGAAGAGCAACCGTGGGGTGGGGGAAGAGCAATCATGGGGAGAGCAGGCTCTTCCAGCAACACTGAGGAGGGGGGATGTGCACCTTGGGGAAGCTGGCAGAAGGCCCTGGTGGCCACCCACAGACCCCAAGTTAGCACGGTTTCCAGTATGGAGAGGCAGGCAGTGACTAGTCAATAGGTGAAGTATTTTATCTAAGAGTCACGTGAATATATTTTATTCCATAATAAACATTTCTTGCTTAAATATAAATATGTTTTAAGTTCCTCACTCATTAGCAGTTTCCTGCGTGGCCCATAAAGCTTCAGGAAGAGCTGGTGAGCCACGCTCCTTCCATGGCCCTCTCTACCTGCAGATGTTCCACATGGAGCCCTGAATGGCTGTGGCAGAGGGCAGAGGGCACGCTTTGTGTTGTGGGGTCAGCCCCTAACAGAAGCCCATGACGCACTGGTAAGATCTCGTCCACACAGTACTGAGACTGGGGCCGATGAAAGCTGACACTGCAGTCCAGCCCCGGCACATCCCGCTCCTCACCGTCCATCCCCAGCCCATCCCCCTCCTCACCGTCCAGCCCCGGCCCATCCCCCTCCTCACCGTCCATCCCCGGCCCACCCCCCTCCTCACCATCCATCCCCGGCCCACCGCCCTCCTCACCGTCCATCCCCGGCCCACCCCCCTCCTCACCGTCCATCCCCGGCCCACCCACCTCCTCACCGTCCATCCCCGGCCCACCCACCTCCTCACCGTCCAGCCCTGGCCCATCCCCCTCATCACCATCCATCCCCGGCCCATCCCCCTCCTCACTGTCCATCCCCGGCCCATCCCCGTCCTCACTGTTCATCCCCGGCCCATCCCCCTCCTCACTGGACTGCAGTTATAAGAGCCTCCCCGTGCTCCCTGGCACAGAAAGGCAGGAATCTCCAGGGAAGAAATGACATCATTCTTTCAAAGACAAAGACAAAGACTGGAACCCTTCACCGTTACAAAGCATGTAAGGCAACAAAGATGTGACCCCAAATTGAAGGGAAGAGGAACAGAGCAGAGCCTCAGGAAATCCAGAAGCCAGAATTGCCACACAAGGCCTTCATGTACCTGCAATAACCAGATTAAGGAATTCAGAAGAAAAGATGAACATGGGGAAATGGAGAACTGCAAAGAAAAGCAGAACCGCAAAAAATCATAAAACTGAAAACAGAAGCTCCGAAATGAAGATTCATTCAACAGACCTAATAACAAGACACAGCAGAAAAGAGTAAAGAAGTCACACACAGGTCAGCGGATGGGATCCAGGCTGAAGTGCAGACAGAAAAGCAAAGACACAGACAAGCAGGGCACAGGAGGCGACCAGAACGAGGGAGGCATGCAGCACCCGTGACAGGTGCAGTCCAGGGGAGGGAGACAGAACAGAGGAGCGGAGGGAGAGAGGCCAGGCTGGTGGATGCGACACCTCCACGTCGTGAAGACAGTTCTTCCCACACTGAGCTCCAGCTTCAAAGCAATCTTTCCCAAAATTCCAGCAAGCTGTATTTTACAGAAATTGATACACTTATCCTACGTTTTACATAAAAAGGCAAAGGACCCAGAAGATCCAAAATAAATTTCAAAGGGCAGATTAAAGGTGAAGACACATAGTTCCCAACTCCAAAAGTGACTGTAAAGCAAAAGTAATTAACACAGTATGATGCTGTGTGAGATTAGACAACAGATCCACAGAACAGAATTGAGAGTCCAGATATAAACCAATGCATATGTGGGCAAGTGATTCTTGGCAAAGACGTCAAGTCACCAATAGGGGCAGATAAAAGGATAATCTTTCTCACAAACGGCACTGATACACTGAAGAGCTCCATGCAGTGGTATGAATCTTAGTCTCCACCTCACACCACATGCAGAATTAACCCACAGTGGGTCAGAAACCTCCAGATGCGAGCCAGAACTAGAAAACGACTAAGAAAAAACAAAAGCAAGTATCTCCATGACACGACCTTTGGTTTGGCAAAGACTTCTTAGATGAGATACAGAAAACATGATCTATAAAGTTTAAAAATTGATAAAATGAATTTATTTAAAATTTTTTTTTTGACAAAATGAATTTCGTTAAAATTAATGTGTGCTTCAAAAGACATACTAAGAAAATAAAAAGACAAGCCAGAGTTGGAGGAAATATTTGCAAACCATACATCTGAAAAAAGGCTTGTATCTAGAATACACAGAGAACTCTTACAACTCATTGAGAAGACATATAGACCAATCAAAAAATGGTGAGAAGCCGGGCGCGGTGGCTCAAGCCTGTAATCCCAGCACTTTGGGAGGCCGAGGCAGGTGGATCACAAGGTCGACTGATCGAGACCATCCTGGTCAACATGGTGAAACCCCGTCTCTACTAAAAATACAAAAAATTAGCTCGGGATCGTGGTGCGTGCCTGTAATCCCAGCTACTCAGGAGGCTGAGGCAGGAGAATTGCCTGAACCCAGGAGGCGGAGGTTGCGGTGAGCCGAGATTGTGCCATTGCACTCCAGCCTGGGTAACAAGAGCGAAACTCTGTCTCAAAAAAAAAAAAAAAAAAAAAAAATGGTGAGAAGATTTCACTAGACAGTTCACCAAAGACTGCAAATGGATGCAAAAAAGAACAGCGCTGAGCGCAGTGCTCACGCCTGCAACCCTGGTACTTATGGGAGGCCAGGGTGGGAGGATGCCTTCAGCTCAGGAGTTCCAGACCAGCCTGGGCAACATAGGGAGGCCGTATCTCTACAAAAAACATTTAAAAAGAAAAAAGTAAAAATAAACATGAAAATGCTCACATCTGGCCGGGCACGGAAGGTTCATGCCTGCAATTACAGCACTTTGGGAGGCTGAGACAGGCAGATTACTTGAGGTCAGGAGTTCGAGACCAGCCTGGCCAACATGACCAAACTCTGTCTGTAAAAAAATACAAAAAATTAGCTGGGCGTGGTGGTGCATGCCTGTAATCCCAGCTGCTGAGATGGCTGAGACAGGAGAATCACTGAAACCCGAAAGGTGGGAGACTGCAGTGAGCTGAGACTAAGCCACTGCACTCCAGCCTGGATGACAGAGCAAGACTCTGTCTCAAAAAAAAAAAAAAAAAAAAAAAAAAAAAAAAAGAGCTCCACATCAGTAGTCATTAGGAACAAGAGTTGAAGGCAATGAGAAGTGCTGATGCGGCGTAAAGACACGGAAGTTCTCATATGCCACTGTTGAGAATGTACAGCAATACAACCATCTTGGAAAACAGTTTCCCAGTTTCATTTCTCTCCCTTTTGAGACAGAGTCTTGCTCTGTTGCCCAGGCTGGAGAGCAAGGGCACGATGTTGGTGGGCTCACTGCAACCTCCGCCCCCTGGGTTCAATTGATTCTCCTACCTCAGCCTCCTGAGTAGCTGGGATTACAGGGGTGTGCCACCACAGCCAGCTAATTTTGTATTTTCAGTAGAGATGAAGTTTCACCATGTTGGCCGGGCTGGTCTCCAACTCCTGATCTCAGATGATCCGCCTGCCCGGCTGCCCAAAGTGCTGGGATTACAGCTGTGAGCCACTGCGCCCTGGCCAGTTTGCCAGTCTCTAAAAACATTAGACAGAAACTCACCATACAAC